TAAAGTGCCCTTTAACCTTTAAAGAATAGCTGATCTGTTTTTAAATGGGCATACAATTGTCCTAACTATGTCGAAATGTTTGGAGATAACAAAAAGATCTTCTTAACTGTTCCAATTGTCTGACTGACGTGCAGTTCTGATCACGCATCTGTTAATTCAATTATTGTTGACCCAACACTCATTCACGACGGCTACGTCAATGGTAGCATTCAAAACGCCAATCAGTGCGTTTATTTCACCAATTTGATAAACAGCCTGCCAATCAAAATTTTATCAAACAAACGCTTTGATAACATCACAAATAGTATTTTCCTATACCTGTCAGAACTTGGCATTGACCATGACAGTATACATTTTTAAAATCACAATGTTTCCTTCACAATAAAGTCACGACAACGGTAGCGAATCGGATGAGATGGCAGAGTCCGATAAAAGGCAATAACTTGTTAAAAAGTGATTTAACAAAAAATCGGGCGAAACGAGTTTTTGAATTGCTCGGCTCTTAAATTAAAGTGCAATTTGGTAAAAGTTACAAATATGGCGTGATCGCTTTTGGTCGGAATTGTTCATGCAGGGCTACTTACGGAAAGTTTTCTTTGAGAAAGAATACTAATATTTTTAGAAGTACTACAGATCGCCCTAAGATTTTTCCAAATTTTCAGCAGTTATTACCTCTATTCCAGGTATTAAATTGAGTTTGCGTGTATAAAATTCAAAACCTTTGAGAATAAGATAGTTAAATAACCTAATTAAAATTCAAAATGGCATAGATATTANAAGAGTCTCACGCTAAAGAATTGAATAAATAAAGAGCATTCACAATATTTCGCCAATGTATAACAAGCCTTATGGCCTTACTATTTCGTTACTACCGTTTCGTTACGTACATTTTTTTTGAGAAATACTCATTAACTAGAGGCTAGTAGAACATATTGGATTTTGGGTGCCCAATTTGTTTTGTTTGTCTCGAAACTAGAACAACTTGATAGTTATTTCAGCTTAGGGGTGTCTAGTATTTTTGTTGCTCTCGGAACTAGAACTCGATCTTTATTTAATTTAGGGGTGCTTAGCTTTTTTGTTAGCCTTAGTAAATTGACATCCCTGCATCTGTGAATTATTCGCGTCGATGCGCGGGCTCACGTGTCCCGAAAATCGCATCTCTCGTGGTCGTTGATAAATATTTATTGGCTGACCGACATATTGGATGCTCGCCGCTTTCCAAAGCGGACCGGTCTTTGTTAGAACCTGCAGGGCTGGCCCTGAAACCTATTGTGCTTACAGTTATTTGAGTTAGATGGATGCTTCTAGTAACCATGTAATCCGCTTGCCAGTTTAATGGTACGGGGTACCTCTTTCCAATCTGAACTTAAAGCAAAATTCTCTTAAGGTAGATTTCATAATTCCAAACTAAAGGTTAAGGGTCCATAATTTGGAATTTCCTTCAGAAAATATACCTTTCCGTTAAAAGTAATAAATAATATAATCTCAAAACAATATAAGGAAAACCACAGATGTCACTCAACTACAAATAATAATAGATAACAAGCCTAGAGTTAATTTACTAAGCAACTAATTACCTGCCGCTTAACACGTTGGTGACGCGATAGGAATTGATAAACGAGGAATAACACATTCGCCAAAGTCATGAATAGTCAAAGAACTGATATAATTGCTGATGGCCATAGTGAATCGTGTGCTATTGTGAATATTCCGTCCGCGTTCTAGTAGCTAGAGAAAGAACAGCCAGTACAATTTAAGCTAGAAATGGGACATAATTGAAGACCAACGAGATGATGAACTCGATAATTGGATCTTTGGTTAATTGACCGATCTTTCGGAAAGTTTACACTATACTGATACAAACGTTGCAGTTTTGAAAATTCTTGCATTATTTAAGCAAGCTTTTATTATTTAAGTTCTAAAAATCCATGCAAAATAAAGTACATAATATTTTTTTTATTGAGTAACCTGTCTGTCTTAGTTATACTGTGTTTATTGTACTGATGGATCACGAACAGTAGGTCACTAATACGGAACTAATGGCGATTTTATGGTCACTATGAATACTAACTATTCAACGCTTATCAAACACCACTTAACATTTAAGATGCGCTTTAAATATCAGAAATTGATCGCATAATTCCCTAACGACATGATTATCATAAAACACTTGATAGAGAGTGTTGTAATCGAGAAATGTTGGTAGAATTGAAATATTTAATGACAGACCCTCAGGGAAATTGACACATTGACAACCGCAGTAAATGCTGCTATTTTCCTTGCATAATACACAACTTTGGCTACTTAACAGGCATTTAGAAATCTTTAATATTGCATTTAGCTCTTGCATAGCATGTTGTAAACGTAAATGATTGGATTAAAACTAAAATTGATTTATAACTAGCTAAGGATGAAATATTGAGAATTTAGAACCTAATGACGGCATCACGTAGTATTCGAAAACTCATATTCATCGAATGAATTAATAACGATGTTTCAAACGTACCTATAATTACGAGTCGATCAGAGCCCGATGCAATCAAAAGCTGATCATCAATCATTAAGGAGGTTTCCTAATAGAAAGTACAATTCACCAGAACAGTGTAATCTCTCCGACCTCTGCCCCGGCAATATTGATATCCTTATTAGCTAATTTGAATAAGTCGCTTGTTTTGTCGAAAGGTCAAGTCCATTGGCACCTTGTTGTCGTCTGCGAATTTGTAAGGTAAGTCAACAACAGGTTCGACAGTTTACTGGAGTTTATTGTGCGAATACTTGGAACCGAATTTTTACTTTCCATTTTATTCATTTAGCTTTAGGGAAATTTGAACTTTAGAGGAATCAAATGAAAATAACAACTGGGTAGTAGGTAATGATACAAATATTGGCATTAGTTATAGAGCACAATTTATTACACAACAAAATATCTGTAATATAAATAGGCAGTTCAAACTATCGCCATTAAAAGTAGAATCCGATAAAAGAGCAGGAACTGATGAACCGAATTCTACATTACTTTCACCATTTACAAACTTGTTAATTGCTCGCGTATGCATTTGCTGCGAAGTTGGTGAGAAAATGATGCGTGAGGCGAACAGTTTTACTGTCGTTCAGAAAAGAAAAGTCAAATATCGTGTAGTTGATCTAGATTCATATGAAAACGTAGATCATTGAAAACTTTTATTAGATTTCTCAAACCTTGCACTTTTTTATTGACTGTACTGTAAGTTTTTTGATTGCTTTAAAAATTTACCTAATTAATCTTAAAATCAATTTTAAACGCCCAAATGATAGATGGACGCAAATTACTCCGTGGGTGGTATAAAATTGTGGAAGTGAAAACTTTCGGGCATATTTTCGAGTTGAGTAATAATAATTTTAGTTATTAATTATAGTGTTAGGAAACGTCCCATGATTAATCAAAGCCCTTGGCCGAAGCCAGTGTAGTGGAGAAAGTAGCATGCGCTGATATCGTGTGATCAGGCCGTACGCGATATTCGGTGTCACTTTACTTGATTGAATGCGATACGTCACGGAACGATGCACTTGAGAATATCATAGAGCGGTATACTTGCCAAGGTCAAGGGATATCTTGAATGAAGGAAAATATCTCGAATTTTCGCAAGCAACGAAGTCGTGACCACGAATTTGATAGAAATCGTTTTGGCCAATTGAATAATGATTTACACGAATTCCACTTTGTCTAAAATCTTGTAACACATAATTCCAGGATAAATAAAATGCAACAATGCTTGGTGATAGTTATAAGGAAAATATGTAAGGTGAGTAATAAACAAGTGCAACTGCAAATACCTACTTACCAACAGAAGATAAGATAACTTGAACGATAACCGCCTCAGACAATGTTGCTATTTTTAAATGATTTCTGAGAATCTGGCTTAAAATTACAAACATAAAGAAGAGTTTGTCGAGGTGGTATTATTTTCCCTAATAATAAATAACTCAATGATATTACATCATTTCTGGGAAAATGTGCTGTTGTATTTTTAAATAAAACAGAAGTGCCTCTACGACATAGAATAAAACTCAAGTTTGTTCTACAAGGTTCAAGATTTCACGTCATAAACCTTCTTGTCCAAATGTCCATATCGCACTAGAATATCTCCTCAACCCCATAATTATTATCTAGCCATAACAATTCACGGGGAGAAGCCAATTTTACCGAATAAAATGTTTGCTTTCTATTTTCACCGACCCACCGCAGGAATGATTGAACTCAAGTTTTCAGTTGAGGTCAGGCATTTCACTTTTGACGTACAGCCTTAGGTTTAAGGCCATCGGGCAAATTGTTTACAAAGGCTAAGCGATTTTATTGTTCTATGGCAAGTTTGTTTATCGTTTTCTAAACGTTTGGAGCCATGCCGTTAACCTCACGTTTGGGCTTAACTGAAGTCGGTGGTTTCTCTGTAAGCTTTTGCCGCGAAACGTGTACCTACTTGTACTAAATAGACCAAAACTACTGTTAGCGATACTTACCAAATTTCGAATTCAGAGGAAAGTTTTTTTTTGGAGTTAAAATGCTCAAATCGGTAGCTGATTTTGGAAAAGTTTTATCTAGTCAGCTGACGTAGATGCTCAAGCAATTTAACTGCATTGAAGGCTTGGGTTGGCTATTATGTTATGTCCCCTATTGCTGCTCGTGCCTTAAAGGTAAGTATAGACTAGAGCATTTCTATGTAATGTAACATTCTTGCGAATGCTACAATACAGGTAAAATGTTTGAGATTTGGTTCGTGACTGGGTGATACACTAGACATTTCATAGACCAGCTCGTTGCCCTTTGTTCTGTTACATGTAAATGCTCTAATCTATACTCACCTTAAGAGGCTGCACAGATCTAGACACATTTTGTGTACAGTTGCTTCCACTTGACACCATACAACGACTATTTTTTTTATGGTGTGTCATAGTACTCGTAGCATCGGTAACAGAGTGTCTACATTAGCGCAGTCCCTAGATGTAATGCTGAAGTATCTCACCTGCAAGCAAGGGCAGAGCGGCCACCGGCGCCGGAGCGCATGCGGCATTTTCTTGCGGGGCGGCTCGGGCTCCGCGGGGGGCTCCCCGCACGCCCAGCGCACGAGGCGCGCGCGCGCCGCCTCCGCCGCCTCCAGACCGCGGGACCACGACGGTAGCCCCTGTGGACAAACAACACAATTATTTATTGCCATACTCATTAATACAGCCCATCTTACTTGTACTATAACAATCGTAAAGAGTCTGTCAAACGCCATACAAAAATACCGGTTATGCTTATTGTTACGGTTAAAGTAAGATTATGCAACTCAGCCTTAGTGTCATCAACTTGGCCTTCACTGTTCAAGTTTTTACTAATTTAGAATTGAAGACGAATAAAGAATTAATTGGCTTTGAATTTGAAGATCCACCATAAGATTATTTTACTCTTACAAAGCCGTATTTGTCAGAAAAGGACTGACGACAGTATCATTTTGAGAATTCTCATTGTAATTCTGTGACTTGTCTACCTATTCCCGTATTGACCATAAATCTCAATACATTTTTTTTAAAGTGAGACTGTTTGCTTTTTCGAAGGAATTGATTTCCTTTTTAGTTTTTCAAGACAATTTGTGTTAAAACACTATTTATCGATCTACTTATGGTTTTACAGGAAAACCAATTTTATAACTTGAGAAAGTGTAAATAATTGTGAAAGTTTATTCAAATTAAGTAAAACCATGAAGACCTGCTGCAACTTATCATCCTAAAAAGGCTAAACTCGGTATCATGTAACTTTCAATTTACTCCAATAAATCAGGAAACGAACTAGGTAATCAGGCTATTAAAATGCGAACATTTTTACGACCGATATCATCAATCGAGTGTATGCATATAAAATTATGTAAGTCATAGATCATTCGCACCTTAGCAAGTCCATAGCTTGAAGAATCAAAACAAACCTATTAAATCTGTTCTCTTTACATAACAGTACTCAACACATTCTGTATCTACTGTTGACTGTTCCCAGTAATATTAAAATTAAAGTCGTAGCACCTTCCAAAGTAGATCAGATTGCAAATGCAACAGAAGCCGAAACAATCGTTAAGCATGCAATGCACTGAGATGAAGATAATATCAGTCAAGGACACGCGTAACAACCGTAACATTGTAAACACGCGATTTTATAAACGGAACGGTGACGCAACGTAACGGAACATCTTGACGCCTCCGCTAACGGTTATCTGACGGTAAGAGTGAGCCCGTATTACGAATACAGGCTTGTGTTTAGTCGTAGGTGTTAGTAGTACCCCTATTGTCGTAATCTTATTACTAAACAGGGTTCAAGGACACTGCTGAGCCTGAAATATTTGGCATGGCTACAGAACTTGATCACACACAAGAAAATCAGTTAAGTATGTACCTAGGTAATTTGTGGGAAAAGGAGACAGTTCCAGGCAAAATAGTGAATTGTAATGATAAAAATATGCATTATTTAAACAATCTTAAGGAATCAACTGAACTCTGATTTAATCTAATGATCGTTATGAGAAAAATTCAAGCGTGTATGAGAAAAATTCAAGCGTGTGGGTATACGGGCCTAGACGATCTTAACGCGGATAACGGATAGTCGCATACAAACAAACGGAATAAACAGATATGATGCTGGAAAAGCGAAAACATTTGATTACTTTCTTGCAGCCGGAGCTGACGCAACTACCAAGGAAGTTCGCTAGTTACGTTGGGATTTTTTTATGTAAAGCACAAGCATAGGGAACTGGAATAAATACAATACGTTAATACTGCCATTAACACGAAACTGTTTTCGTATTGAATAATGTTATTGGGTAAGACGATATAAATATGTATTTGAAAACGTTACATCATTTTGATGCTAACGATGAGAACCATCTGTGTCACATGTTTAAAAATCGTTTAGATTACATAAAACATTTAAATGTAGTTCAAAAAATTGGCGAATGAATTTATTACTATTAAATAACCATTTCGTATTTATGACCCAAATTCTACCGGGTTTAATTTATGCACACCCGTGGAACGATGATTAGGCCTGATAGCTGGCTCCATTTCAACACAAGGCATCAGCCCGCCACTATTGTTCACTTGAACTTTTGCTTCGACATTTACTGAACTGTTGCGACTCAGATCCAAATGGATGATAAACGTCGAAATCTCAGATGTTTCCACTTATAACCGCATTGCATTAACTTGCGCAGTTTTCGATCGGCCACACTTAGATGCAGATACGATTTATGTTGCAAAAGCCGCTATTGTCTTATGAGTTCCAAATCGAATGTTCTGAGTCTGAATTGAGCATAAATCAAAGTTTACACACCTTTTTCAATTTAGAGAATCACACGAAAGTCAAACAATAGTTATTCAGAAAGCAAAACAAAAGTGTAACGAATCCAACAATGGCGATCTTCGAGCACTTTCTTGCTTGCGCAGACGCAGGAGGCAGCGGCAGTGTGTCAGCAGGTCGGCATCAGCACGGGGCTCACGTAGCGGGTGTTGTCGGGACGCGCACTAGGATGTGCGAGTGAAAGTGAACTCGAACACGACAACGGCGGAATGCTCGAACAGGTGGCATTGATGTGCGGCCGAATATCGATGCCTGAGACGACCTTGATCGCAAAGTTGATTAAGCTGATATACCGCAAATCGCTTTTACAAACTAGATCGCGGTCGATGTAATCCAGATCCTTATAAGTATTCTAGCTAGGTTCCTTTGTTTCGTCTCCAATTACATGTAACAATAAGTAATTACACTGAAAATGACCTAATTATATCAAACAATGTCCTATAATATCAATCAATTGTTATCTAAAATCTTTTGACTCATTACTACGTTGATACAATAACAAACGAATAGGCGAATGATTAAAATCGTGTCGATGAATGACCCCAATATTGACTCATTAGCCAGACTGGAACGCAATTAAGCTGCCGAATGTTATGATTGAGTCCTTGACTCCTCTTGTGTTAACATTCCGAAAGTGATTGCTCGCAAAAACACTTCGACACAAAACATGGAACGCATCAATCATGAATGTATCTACATTTACTTTGTGCAAATTGGAATCTACTACGTAAACGATGTAATGATGAACCATTGACCGCATTAATGTTGCTTGTTCGAGTTTGTTAATGATTGTCTCAAAATAGCTCAAACTAGCTGCTACGTAACACATTAGACAATCGTTTAATACAAAAAGCTGTCAAACAGCATCGAAGACGGGCGTTACATTAATCTTTAAATTGATGTACAAGACTCTGTTATGTTCGACACACGATTCACTTATTGATTTAACGTTTTCCGTTACATAATGATGTGTGATTGGCAGTGATTTAAAGCCTCTTTCACTGGTCGTTGCGTGCTGAGCGGTAATAGGATTATTACCGGAACATGTTTGTTATACATTTTAAAATTAAAACCAAATAAAGACTGAAGATCCGTGACCGAAGTGGCGTAGTGGAATAAGTAGGAGGTAAACAAGCAATAAATTGAAACAGGTACTTCAATTGATACCCCTATAGAAAGCAAACGAAGCTAAAGCATGCATTATTCATGGCACAGGTCAGACTGACGAATGCGCAGACAACACATACAATTTATTGACAACAAATGCACAAACTATGCGATCTATATGCAAATTTAAAGTACTTTTCTACTCATATGAAATAAGAAAATCTAAATGTTCATCACAAATTCAAAACAAAAATATTAATATCGTTGATTCGTTGAACAGCTGTGCCTTACCTATAATGAAAATAATTAAAAAAAAAAGATGCGCCATCAACTGAAAATAATACCTGTTTCATCAAGGAAAACAACGAAATGTGTCACATACTCGTAATAAAAGTGATGAGCTTACATAAAATAAATTATGACAATGTTACATTCTTTCATATGTGTCCAGTCAAGCAAATCGTTAGTCTTTATAATTAAGTGTTCTACTTCTTTTATACTTTTATAATTAGAAAGGAGGAAGAGGGTAAAATTTGCAGGATTCTCGAATTCTAGTCTGATACAAATTTTCATTATAATTCTTCTAGCAAGCTCGAGAATTTTAATATATTTTCTCACTAGCTTTTGTCTGTCACAGAAAAATCCCTGTTTCAAAAACCGGGATAAAAACTATCCTATGTTCTTTCCCGGGACTCAAACTATCTCTATGCCAAATTTCATCAAAATCGGTTGCGAGGTTTAAGCGGGAAAGCGTAACAGACAGACAGACAGACAGAGTTACTTTCGCATTTATAATATTAGTTGGGATTGTTTCTGGAAGTAAACAGACACACGGTTTCAAGATGGTATGTGGCCACATTGCTGCGACTGTCACCGTCTTATTCTTGACACGTACGCTCATACACTCGGCAGTATAATTAAGCAAGTTCATCAAAACAACGTGATAATAGCACTCGCGGGTTACGTGTGTCGGAAACTGAAGCCGGATCTAGTGGCATATAACATAGTTACATCACTATCGCTTGTGCTGACCTCTATTATTATGCAATTTATTATGGCGAGAATGGTCGCGGTTTATGCTATTTAGTGATTTTTCAATCAGGCGCTCTATCGATGCTTTTACAGGTGCCGTTTGGTCAGAATTTTCTAAAATCTGTAATTTTTTTTCGAGAGATTACTGTTCACTTAACAAGAATTGATACTTTAGGATAGCCACACTGCACTTTATTTTATCTTATTCTGGTTTATATCTTAAGAGATAACCACAAACCAATCCTGACTTTGTTTTTATTTAAGCTGCAGGTCGTAGATGAGATATTTATTTGCATACTTAACTACGCGCAGAAGTTAAAACTTCTTAACATAAAGGTCTTGGCCGACCCGACTTCGCATTAATTTCCTTTTGTCTCAGCAAATAATGTAAAAATTCAGATTTGACAATCTGACCTGATGGTCCAGAGAATATACTTCATTATTATGATAACTTCTAATATACAAGTTGACATATCTACAAGTTTTACAACCCGTCAATCATGTGACTTGCTAATTACTCGTATATTGTTAAAAGTAATTCAACATGTCTGAGGATTATCATGATAGCTATCTTTAGAAACTTAATTACAAATTACTCGCATATTATAAGCCATAAATTGACTTCAATATTTTATTGCGATAGGTTTTTAAATTACGAAG